CCACTTGATGTTTGAAGAGTCTGAGCCTCCTTCCTGCTCAGAGGACCAGTGGTCATCATTTATGTGGGCGCTTGTGACTGCAAAGGTCAATGGACAGAAAAAATAGCAGTGAGAGAAACCCAGATGAGGACAGTTGGGATGGCAGTCACATCATTCATGTTTCACAATAGCATTGGCCTTTGCCAGCATTTCCTAAGGGGAAAATCACAAGGCAGCAAAAACAAAGAGCCACAAATGAACAAAAGGGGACATGGGGCAAGAACTCCGTGAAGATCTGAGAGACGGGACCTTTGTGCTTCCAAGGACAGTGCCAGTCATGTGTTCCCTGGAGAATTCTGCTTCCAGTGGTTTCTCCTTCAGATCTGCTGCTCTGATTTCTTTACCTTTCCTGCAGTGGAAGATTTCCTCATTTCTTAGTGCCTTCCTAAATTTCAGTCCCAATTCACAGAAATAACCTTGGAAATTATATCAGCATGAAATCTTGTTTTGAATTAAGGTTTTTCATTAGCCGAGAAGAGATTTTACTATTTCCATTTTGGACTCATATAAGAAAACACAAATGGATGAAAATCTATTATGCTTAGTATTGAATGATTACCTTTACTTCTCATTTTGCTGGCACATTATTCAGATTCTATTAAAGCCCCTTTAGTCTGTATCTTTCTTAAAATGATGTGAGAGATGTGTAATGTATCCCTTATCACTGACATGCATATGTGACATGACATATAGTAAAGCTCAGTACAATTTAAACTTATTTCATGTACTTTTGCCATAATATTCATCAGTCAAGTAAAAACCTTCCTAAGCAGGTAACACCTGTCAGAAAATTTTATCATACTCAAGTCTCCCTTTGAATAGTATGTTTTGCACATGGGTAAGGTGTTCTCTCACCCTTCCACTTTTGTTTTATTAATACTGTTTGCCCTTTAGATTTTTCCCCACAATGACAATTTAGGGCTCTACTTCATCGAAATTTTTTTCTCAGTGAAATTATGGGATTTGTTAATTTTCTTTTTTTAAAACCCTTGTTTTGTGAGAGTTAGACTTGTAGTATAGCTTGTTGGCTGCTTCATATTACTAGACTTATTGCTATAAATATAAGAAATGCTGGCAGGTTTGAACAGATTTTTTTTTAAAGTATGAGTTTTACTTTTTTCTTAAAAAATCTTTACAGAGTTGATTATGGTGATGAGCTAATAGCCTGTAGAAAATCTGGTTTGGAGACCATGGTTCTCCATCCTATATGGATCTGCCAGTGAAAGGGTATAGTGTTGTCCTAAACAGAATTTGCTTTTTAGCTTTCCTTACTACAGCAGCAAAGCCTTATCCCAGAATTTTTTGCTATTTAGCTTCCACTGCCCTGACTTGGATAGTATGAGCGTTTCTGCATTGATAATAGAGAAATTCACATCAATATCTAGGTTAATGTTTAGCAGAGACCAGTTGGGTGTTCATTCTGAATTGCTTGAAGTCAGCTCTCTCTGACAACAGTTTTTCATATTTCTTTTAAATTTTAATTGTAACTCATCGAGTCTTAAGCAATTACTTCTGAGTTAGACTCTTGATGAATGTCATAGCAGGGTGTTTTAATTTAATAGATCCAGAATAACATCTGTTTCTAATATTTTAAAAGTCAGTTTATATGGAAATTCATTTAATATAGAGTCAATACATGGAGACTTGTAAAAATCAAAATCAAAATGGAAAAGTCAAACCACTGTGATATAGTAGGTCTTCTGTGAACAAAGAATTTCACTTACAGCTAGGTTCAGTTGCCACTAGCTAAAACCCAAAATATCACAGTTTAAAATACATACCAACTTTTTTCTCACGCTCATGCAATGGGGAGGTAGTTAGCCCAGGGTTGGAATGTTCTACCAAGACAGGAACTCAGTTTCCTTCAGTCCTGTTGCTGTGCTGGGCATGATTTCTATTCCTAAGGACACTTTATGGGCCAAGATGACTGCTAGACCCCCAGCTATTGCATCTGTGCTCCAGCAGGAAGGAGGTAGGGGTGGAGGAGAAGAGTGTGAAGCTTTTTTCCCCCTTTAAGGGCACTTTTTGGAAGTAGTACATAAAACTCTGCTTATGCTCCACTGGCCAAAAACTAGTCACATGACCATCTATAGCAGCAATGGGAGGTAGGAAATGAAATCTTTCTAGGGACAATATACCATTAAAAACAGAAGGTCTAAGAGTATGCGAAAAGGCTGGGAATAGAAATGGAAAAACAACTATCCCTACCACAATGAGTATTTTTTAAGACATGATTTTAACAGACCTTCTGCCTTTTTATTGAGCATCTAGAAAAGTCAACTGGTAGATATAGAAAGAGTAGTATGGTGTTTCACATAGAGTAGATAAATTATCAACTACTGATCAGTCTGTTTTATTTTTTATTATTTTTAAAATATATCTTTATTAATTTCAGAGAATGGGAGAGGGAGAGAGAAAGATAGAAATATCAACGATGAGAGAGAATCATTGATCAGCTGCCTCCTGCATGCCCCCTACCGGGGATCGAGCCTGCAACCTGGGCACGTGCCTTTGACCAGAATCGAACCTAGAACCCTTCAGTCCGCAGGCTGATACTCTGTCCACTGAACCAAACCAGCTAGGTCAGACTATTTTAATTTTAGCCCCCAAATGTGCCCAAGTTCAGAGGTTGTGGGTCAAACAGACTATAATCAGGGACTTTTTATAAGTTTTACCCCAGTCTTTGTAGAATCACAGTAGCAGCTAGCAGGACTGAGATGTCATTTGTTCTAGGTCTCCAGAACACCTGTGTATCTGCAAAGCAGTGTTCTCTGCTTCCTTACATAGAAGGCAAATGGACAATTACAAGTGTTTGTTAAATGATTTCAAGGTAAAACTATTATCGTTACAGAAATTGAAGCTCAGAGAGGTTAATTGGGAGGCCGTTTAGAGAAGCTGTTGAAAACCAGCATTGACCAGCCATTGATTTCAAATGGAGTACTAACTCACTATTTCTATTAAACACTTAGGATGGGTTTTTAATCTGTTCCATACTCTTGTTTTTGAAGTCACTCAGTAAATTACACAGCTGGGACTCGGGCATTGCTCCTTAAGCCAGGGTTTTTGCAACCTGATTTTTGGTAAAATTCATATGGAAATTCCTTTAATCATGGCTGCCTCACAATGAAAGGCAGAACTGGTGGAGTGGCTATAGGTAAAGGTCTTCAGAGTGGCCACCCACCATCTATCCTTTAGCTACTCATGCACCCACATCCCCTTAAAAAGTCCTGGCATTAGAGTAGGCAAGACTTTTCTACTTAAGTGTCTCATTCCTGCTTTCTTCTGACTCATGTCCCTCTCTTGTGTTCTGTAAGTACTGAGATAGCTGCACTGGAGATACAAAAGACCCCAGATGCCATCCTGTTCTCTGGCAGGTATAATGCCATAGAACGGAATCCTCCAGTCCTCCAAACTGAGTTATTTATGTGCTGCCTTCCACAATTGTACCTTATCCACTGTTGATTCCTTCATATCTATGTTTACATTGACTTTTTAATGTTTAACAGCTTAATTTTGAGTAGATATCTATGAAATCCAGCTTTGATGTGACAATTAAAATTTATTTCAATTTTATGCTAAAACCAATATAGCCATTAAGAGGTTTACAAGGTTTGTGTATTTTCTCACATACTCCTTGTGGGTTGTGGATCATATTTTGAGGATCCCATCATACTGGAAAGAGCATGGGCCATGAAACTTGACCTTGTTATTTCTGATTGCTATGAATTTGGATTCTTTATTAATTTACCTTTCTCGATCACAATGTGCTCACTTGAGAGATGCACATAACATAATATCTATCTCATCAGTTATTCCAAGAATTAACCAAGAAGATATAGCCAAGGAGACCAGCAGAGGCTTGGCAGATAGGAAGTGCTCAGCGAACACTAGGTTATTCCTCCTTGAGTTACCAGTCCTCAAAAGCAAGAGACAAGGAAGTGCATCATTGTGGCATCTGGTGTAGGTGACACCAAGTCTTGTGAGAGCTCGGAAGGGGTAAAGGCTGAAGTTTACTGGAGTGTAGGAAGGGGGCAATATTTGGATAGATGGAAAGCCATTCTTACTCATCTCTCCAGCTGTATAGGACTCAGTGATGGCGAAACTATGACACGCGTGTCAGAGGTGACACGCGAACTCATTTTTTTGGGTTGATTTTTCTTTGTTAAACGACATTCAAATATATAAAGTAAATATCAAAAATACAAGTCTTTGTTTTACTATGGTTGCAAATATCAAAAAATTTCTATATGTGACACGGCACCAGAGTTAAGTTAGGGTTTTTCAAAATGCTGACACACCAAGCTCAAAAGGTTCGCCATCACTGGTATAGGTCCTTACTACTCAAAGTGGGGTCCACAGACCAGCGGAGTCAATTTTACTTGGGGATTTGTTAGAAATGTGGAACCTGCCTGTTGACAAGATTCCCAGATGATGTGTATGTTTGAGAGGCATTGCTCCAGGCACAAATATTCTATTTAAAATTTATTTCCCTTGGGGGCTAGTTCTTGCTCTTAGTGTATCTCCTGCACCAGTATCAGCTGGGGCTGTGCTTTTAAAGAATGCATATTCTCAGGCTTCACATCAACCTGGGGCCTGGACTCTGCAGTTTTAGTCAGTATGCCAAGTGATATTTAGGACACTTCTTTAGCAACCTCTGCAGTCAGGCTTAAATCAATGATAGAACCTCTGCATTTATTCTTCAAACATACTTGCATTCAAACAAGGAAGAAAGCTTTTGAGGCAAAGAAATACAACTCTAATTGTGGTGCTAGTAAGAAATAAGGGGAGGATCTCAATTCGATCTTCATGTAAAGTTCATTCGCATTAATTATGCATTCCTGGAACCCCAGCATAAAGTCTCATGACAACAAAGCTAGGGAGGGAGATCATATCTTACCAATATGATCTAATATTTTTTTCCTGTAGTTTTCATTTGATTTTTTTAACATTTTGTTTTTCAGCCGTGCTATCAAGACTAATCAGGACCTTCTCCCAGAAACGCCGTGGACGCACATTTTCTACAATGATTTCTGGGGGACTCTTCTAACCCACAGTGGCAGCCACAAGTCCTACCGGCCACTCTGCACGCTTTCTTTTCGCCTGAACCATGCCATCGGAGGGCTGAATCCCTGGAGCTACCATCTTGTCAATATCCTACTGCATGCGGCAGTCACTGGTCTCTTCACGAGCTTCTCCAAGATACTCCTTGGGGACGGATACTGGACCTTCATGGCGGGCTTGATGTTCGCCTCTCACCCCATCCACACGGAGGCCGTGGCGGGAATCGTGGGTCGGGCCGATGTCGGGGCCAGTCTCTTCTTTCTCCTCTCCTTGCTCTGCTACATTAAACACTGCTCTACCAGAGGCTACTCAGCCAGGACGTGGGGCTGGTTCCTGGGGACAGGGCTGTGTGCGGGATGCAGCATGCTGTGGAAGGAACAAGGAGTGACTGTTCTGGCCGTCTCAGCAGTTTACGATGTCTTCGTCTTTCACAGGCTGAAAATGAAACAGATCCTACCTACCATTTACAAAGTAAGTGATTGTTGGTGCTCAAGCATTGGATTTCTGAGTCATCTCTTGCTTGGTCCTATTTTACCATTTAAAAGGCAAATTTGTTCCTTTTCAAAGAGAATTTAACGTAAGTAACTTTTTGATCTTCAGTAAGTGGAAGTGTCCTTTCTGACCTTTCCCTACTAACTTGGGTTTCAGTCACTGATTTCTCAGATTTCTTTACTTATTTTCATGATTTCAGAGGAGGTGTAGAAGGATGGTTTTGCCTTGGAAAGATTATGCATCTTTAGAATTAATTTATTTTTATTCATTCCTAATTTCTGCTCCAACTCTAATCCTATACATTGCCTCCTATACATAATGTGTATTTGTAAATATATCACAGCTGGTAATAGAGCTAGATACTAGACTATAGAGGGGAAATCCTTCCCAGTGTTAATATTATTTTCCTGAGTTGACGATGGAAAAGAACCCTTCTCTGTAGTGTGCTAGGAACTCAAATTCTTAAACAATGAATCATATTCACCTTTTCCTTTTTGTGGTGTAATAGAATAGACGAGTCAAAACAGAAACTGGTTATTATAAGTTTTGCCCTGAGGCCAATTAAGGCCTTTGCTTCAGGGCTTAGTATTTGTTTCAAATGCAATGTTGTTGGAAGGTCAAATAAGCACTTTGGGATCCCATAATCTTAAAGTGATCCAAACAGTTTTCTGCTAGAGTGTTCATCGGAGGCATTGGGTAAACTGGAACATCTTGAGAAAGTGCCTTCTACCTATTGCCCCATCCCCACTCACTCACAATAAACTCGCTTGCTTTGGCTTTAAGTATGCAGACTCCACGTGGCCAGGGTTTGCAAACCTCGGCCATGGTGTAGGCCAGCTCCTTCTGCTTCTTAGACACTTAAGCAAGGAATTACAGATTTGGATATTTGCCCTGAGAAAGCTGTCAAGTTTTCTAGTATTGACTAACTTTTCCCTCCTCAGTTCCCTATTTTGCTTGAAATTGAATTGGGAAGAAATTAAATTAAAAAATGGAAGGAAATAGAAACAGAACATTTACAGTGCAACCTCGATTCTCAAACTTAATTTCTTCCAGATGCTGTTCGAAAACCGAATCATTTTTTCCCATTAGAAATTAAATTGAATTAATCCATTCCAGACCCGCAAATTCCCTGTTTTTCTTAGATACTGTACATGTCTAATGTACTCTTTAATCTATAAATAAACACTTTAACGACACAAAGGACATGAAATGTACAGTAAAAAATGAAAATTTAGTAATAATAAGGAGCAACAAAAGCAAAAAACATGAGAATATTCCCCGCACTATTTCCTGAGATGCTAACAACATGATGTTTCACAGTAAACTGACTGATACACACACATTCACTCCTTTGTCACCTATGGGGTTTGAGACTGGTCATACAGGTATCAGCATGAAAGGGTTGTCTAGTTGAGAAGTGAATGGTTCAAAATGGAAAACCAAGGTTTGACTGTACTTTTTAAAAAAATGGCTATTTTTTATTTATTTAGTAGGAAGGCAATTAACTGCTATGCTTCTCTGCAGGAAAGCTTAACCTTTCAGTTAGAACTCAAGTATCAAGGGCTTAATGAAGTTCTTTTGTGATTTCAATTAAATGCTAAAACCTTAAAAGAAAAGCAAACAACATCTGGTTTGAGAGTCAAGCTCTTAATTTCAAAGCAGTTTTAATTATTTTTTTAGGGAGAATAGGGAGAATAATCTTTTTCTTTTCCTTTAAAACCATGTCATTAACAATAGCAAGCTTTCTTGGTTTATTTGACATATAAATAAATAGAATAAGTTTAAATCATGGTTCTTATCCCATGGAGGTTGGGACTGTTAAAGAAAAGGTTCAGAGTAGAGTCACCTGTGCTAAGTCCACCTCAGCAAATCAAGACTTAATTGCAATGTCAGCCTCTCTCAAAAAATGTGAACTTCAATCAATCTGGAATTCCCTGGTTAGCACTGTAGAGGTAATCTGCCTTCTAGACTGTTTCTCTCCCCCAAAGTAGAATGAGGTAATCCCACTCTTTCCTTATCTTTTCTGCCTTCCATTTTGTACAGGTCTTTGGAGCTCCTTTCTGTTACCTTGGTGGAATGTTGCCTGATTCATGAATCATTCCATAAAGCCAGTTTGATCTTCAAATTTACTCAGAATTTTGTTTTCCAACAAAATTGACCTATTTGAAGATGCAGCTCTGGGTGTTTCAAGACTTAGCCTTGAAAGCTATGAAACATTGAGGTTTCTTAAAAAGAATTTCCATTTACCGTTGTTGCCAGACCAAAGGGGCCATTTGCCTGTGAGCATCAAAGCCCAATGAAATCAAACCGTAGTTTGCAGCAAGGAAAGTAAGGGCTTATTTTTAGGAAGCGGCCCAACCCCAGAGTCACAAGTGAGCAAATGCTCAAAGACCTGGCTTCCCAAAGATTTCTAGTGGTTGGAGTGTATAGGAGAAAAAATAATTAATTACGAAGACTAAGAGAGTTAGCGTCATGGTCAAGGTCGTGGTCTCTGTCGATTTGTTGGTGCTAGGGTAGGGGTTGTTGATCAGTGCATTGGCCCTGATGTCAGCCATGGTGTCACTACTTCTGGTTTTCCTGCTTTTCTGAGCCTAGAGCTGAACATAACTGAGGCCTAGATATTAACCTCTCGATCTTGAAGTCTCTGTCATTTAAATCACATATTTCCTTATCTTTCAGTTTATTTTCTGGAGATTTTTATTTTTTTTCTTAGCTGCCTCCCTACCTTGGTTATTCCTGGTATTTGATGGATTCCTTCCTCTGTCTAGGCATCTATGAATGAGTGGCATTTCTCTAGTAGATTGATACAAAGAAGTCCTATTATCTTCCAGTAGGTGGCGTTGAATCAGGATTTCTTTCTTTTCTTTTTTTTTTTTTGGCTCTCTTGTTCTTTGGCTTTTCAGATCCCTGGGGTGATGGAAAATGGGAGGTGGGTGCCTCCCCTGTGATCTGGTAATGCCCGTCCCAGGGAACCAACCCTGCCAATGAACAAACGTGGTGGGCTGTGGGGCTTCCAATTTGTGAAATCTCAGTGCTGTCCTCTACTGCCAGACACTGCAGTCAGTACAGCCATGATGCGTGGGGGGAGGGTGGACTGGGATAACCTGTCCACCTTCTAAATTGCTTTGTCCTCCAGTAATTGTGACCTTGGACCTCTGTGGAATTCTCTTCTTGCCCTGATCCTGAGACCATTCACAGAGTGGGCCTTTTGCTCAGTACTAGTTCTCAGATTTGCAGATAATGCACTCTGCAACCAAGGGTGAAGGAAGCAAGCTTTAGGAGAATAAGGGGCAGCCAGGCTCCATGACTTTGGTTTCTCTGAGTGGAATGCCAACCACCAGACAACTGGGTTCAGCTGTAGCTCATAATGCCAACTCCTGCAGGAATGTCCCCCAAATCTCTTAGCTCCTCCTGACTGAAGGGAGTGCCAGCCAAAACCTGATTCTTCCCCTCTCCAGGCTGAGCCCTACCTTGAGCTCCTGGCTTCAGGTGGCTCAGCTCAACGCTTTTCCCTTCTCTCCTCCCTGGTTCATTCCCACTTGCCCACCTTTAGATTTCTCAGTGCTCGATTCTCTCAGGTGTGTTTGTGCATTGAGCAGGGAAGACTTTGTTGAATTATAGCTGTTTAAATTGTTGAAACATCAAGGGGGAGACCGAGGGGATCTCTCACACTGCCATGTCTCCGATGTCACTGTCTAGTTGTCTTTAAATGTATAGTGGTTTGAAAGCAAGTGAATTAGAGATCTAGTTAAGCCAAATCATGCACATTTAAGCACAAACTTTCATTTAGAATCTCATGACTGTGGGGCTTGTAAGCGCTGGCATAGATTACATATGGAAGTTATAGAAAATTCCATATTCTTTTTTTAAATATATAGATTTTAAATGCTTGGGTGAGTTGGAAGAGACTGAAGGAAGTGGATTAAAACTTTAGTTAGAAGGTTCTTTTAAACCTTAAAAGAATAATTATCCTAAATATCTTACCAATCAACTCTGCAACATAGTTATCCTGGGTTTGCCAGATGAAATAAACTTTTCTGCCTCATAAAAATATAACACATATATAAACAGAAAACTCTAGTGTACAAATGTTTAACTCTATTATGCAAATTAGAGAACCAGTCAGCACTCAAGATCTAAAAATGGAGGGTCCTCTGAAAGCTTGAGTTTATTAGAACTAGAGGAGCAAGATTCCCACTTTTTCAGTTTTGTCAGTAATATTTTTCTCATAGCAATCACACTCAGCTTCTTTCTTCACAGTGGTTTCGGTTCTGTACCTCTTTTCAGATCCTGGTCCCCAAATTCGAGTGTGTACCAGGGCCAGGCAGAAGGTGCTGCCCTACAACTTGTACTCCACTCCATCCCATTACTGCAGTAAAAATAAATAAGTAAATAAAGGTTTTGGTTTGGTAGACTATAAGATTTTTCTGAGAAGGTAGACATCTGGATTTTTTCTATGACATCTGTTTTTTTAATGTTGGTTATTATTGGGCCACACAAAAATCCTTGGGATGGCTGAATTTGACCAGAGTTCTTGGCTGCCATTTTTTATTTAAAAGGCTCATGCAAATGATATGCATGTCCGTATCATACATAAGGTTTTCTAAAAAAAAGTTGTTTTTATTTTTTATTTTAGAGGGAGAGGAACGGCGGGAGAGAGAGAGAGAAAGAGAGAGAGACAGGTGTTGATTTGTTCCAGTTATTTATGCATTCATTGGTTGATTTTTGTATGTGTCCTGACCGAGATTCAAACCCACAACTTTGGCATATCAGGGTCAATGATTCTAACCAACTGAGCTACCCAGTCAGGGCAATGTATAAGGTTTTTGCAGTTGTGCAAAGCCAATATGAAATTTATACTTTTCTTCAATGAAGTATGTGAAAAATAGTAAGTGCCTGACATATTGTAGATATTTTATTTAGTATTTAATAAACACATTTGGTGTTTATATCTGGCAGGTACTGTTCTGAATATGCTA